CGGGCGCTCATATTATAAGGTAAGGTTATAAAAACCATCTTTTAAGATCATTTTAGTGAAAGTTTCATGCTTCAAGGCGTACCATTCACTGCTCAAATACTAAACAACCTGCTTCCATTGCCGAGATACAGGGCGCTCATATTATAAGGTAAGGTTATAAAACCACCTTTTAAGATCATTTTAGTGAAAGTTTCATGTTCATATCTCATATAATTTAAGAACAATGATGAATAAATCATTTTCGAGCAAAATTTAAATGGCCGGCTGAATATATTACCGCCAGAGAGACGGCCGCGGAATTTAAATCACCGCGCGAAAGGGTTAAGAAGTGTCATAGTCCTTTTATGTACAACTAAACTGGATGAAAAATATTCATAGAAGATAAGGAATTACCAGAGTATAGGCTCCAGGATGCACTGGTGTAGGTGACAGCATCAAATATGTTCCTTATAGACACAGTTCACAGTGTGATGAAACAACACTCTCCTCACATAGTGCTTACTTTTGAAAATGCATTTTTTTAATATATAATTGAATTAAAGTTCCTGATATGTTTAAGATAATTCTGCCATTCTAATTGCACTGTTAAAATGAACCTCTTAATTAAGTTTTTATAATATAATCTTTATTTAAACTATACATTAACGACACTACATGTTGCAGTAAATTGCAGAGTGCTGCCCCTCTGACAGAACTGCTGTAACCTTCTTATCTGATGACATTTCTTTCTGGCTAGCTCCATGCACATTTGTATCCATAATTGTTTGTGTACTGTTTTAATAATGTAAAATGTGTTTTCTTTTTCCCTCCCTGTCATGTGAGCAACATATATCTGCTTGGTTGTGTAATCAGTTGTGGTTATGGCAATTACACACAGTAATCATGTAGTAAGGGAAGAGGCAGGAGAAGCAAATCTCTCTAGAAAATACTGCATCTGTGGAGTGATTCTTAAACGTTGTATTGAACCGGGACAAACAGAGCATATTAACATTAGAGTAATGTGTGTAGATAGTGCGAGTGCTATAGCTGTGATAGTGAGCCCGTTTTGCAGATAAGTACTCATTGCCCACAAGAAAAGTAACTTTGTTGCTCACAGGAACATCATGTGAGGCATTGTAGCTCAGTCTGTGAAATGACTTTGTACTACAAAGAACACATCTAGGGTTCAGTCTCCTAACAGAAGCATTTTCAGATGACTGTGGAATCCACCTGTCTGTCTGTAAATCCTAGGATGCTGTCATAAGGACATAGTTGACAAGAGAACAAATCTGGCCACTCAACTGTATTTCATGCTGGGGCCTGAATGTTTTAGCTTTGCAGCTTCACCTTAGCATGGAATTTGGTCACAGCTTACAGATATTATTGACCCTAATTATGAGTTGGCTTGATGTTACTGAATGTGTCATGTCATTTGTTTTGACATGTTGGCCGAATTAAGCGCAGGTTTCATTATGCTCTGGAGTTACATGCTTTGTAAGTCATAGATGAACCATTACTCCCATTCCATGAGCAGATGTGGGAGAAGAATTACTTTATCAAATACCACTCATGTATTTTCATATTCTGTGTAACTTGAACAAATTGAGAAAGGCATTGTTTCTAACTACCGTATTTGCAGTAATTGTTTAGAGTCCTGTCTTTGTCGACCAGCATGTATAATTTCTCACAGCATGACGGTAGTTGCCTGGGACCTGTACTGAAGAGCTGAAGCTTTTTATTAAAATATTAGTGTTTCAGTGTCTACATTCTTTCAGTTCTGTGGTATGATTATTCAGGTACTTGAACTGAGTGACATATTGATGTGGCTTAGTGGAACTCCCTGTGGATGAATTTCAATTATCAGATCTTTCAGATGGATCTCAACAAACCCAGTTCAGTTCAGCACAATTCTAATTCAGAGAAAGAACCATGGAAGCTTAGACATGACAGGTATTGAGAATTGCCTTCAGTACCATATACAGAATAGCTTTGGGGTAGGTGCTGATTAGGAAAGTAGGTCCATTCCACTTTCCCTGCATATAGAGGCCCTCAGGGCATGGATTTCTTCCTCTGAACCCCCTGTTCTGCTTGGCACTGCAGTGTACAAGATTAATGCCCTCTGTCAACCACACTTCTGTAGATAACGTTCTTACTGGGTGTAAGATGCCGTAACCTCAGCAGCAGGTGAAGCGTGTCAATGAATATTGTAATTTAGTCCAACAACGAGCTCATCTGGTTCGAGATCCCCGTGGCGTGGAACTGCCTGCACACCTCACCACTTGACATCCTTTAGTATGTAGGTTCACCACATTTGCCAACTGGAGGAACATGTTTCTGCTCTGATGATATTACATTCCAGCAGTACACTTAGCAATGCACAATTCCAACACAAACCTACACCTTGTTTCATGCATGTCTTACCCCCACTCCTTACTTCTGTCATCATATCAGAACATTTTCACTCAAACATTGCTGTTCTGAGTACATGGTTCAGGTGGCTTACTGCACTCATTAACTACCTGTGATAAATTATTGATTTAAATTCTTTCACTATGATTTATTGTGAAGTTATGATTGCTTTAGAAATTACTGTTGCGAATACTGATCATGAAGGTAAATATGCTTATTTAGTTACACTGTATTACTGGTAATTGTTCTGTTGAAGGGGAAAGGATACATGAATAATCAAAGAACACAGATAATGCAAGATCAGGAGACCATAGTGACTGTTAAACATAGAAATTAAAAATTGTATTCACAACTGCTAATTTAATTATTTTAAATGCTTTAAGAGTTCCAGGAAAAATATAGTAAACATAAAGTGTGTGTTTCACTTTTCTCTGCAACCTCTATTTGAAACTTCTCCTCTGCCAACAATTTGGTGAGTTACACCCAAAATATGCACAAAATATGTCTCATGTAAAGTGGTTATTAAAATTTTGCAGTCAGAGTGATAACTGATGTATCTGTACATACTTACATAAAATTGTCCAGTATCAAATTTAATAAAACTATATCCAGCAGTTCTTGAGTTGTTCTATGTGTACAGACAGAGAGATGAACAGACTGACTGAACCTAATAGGCAGTCTGCCAGTTTGCAACTAAAATAGCACAGGGATAATCAGGAATATGCTGTAGTGATCTTGAGTTGTCAAGGGTTTTGAAGCATTAATGTTGGGGAGAATTGTTTGGAAGGCAGTTTTATTGCCTCTAGCGTTCATTTTTAAACACTTCTTTTGTAGTGATTTTAGGTGTCATGGAGTGACTAGTAACTTTGCTACACTCATTATCATCATTAAGCACCGATGAATATTTCCTCTTCAGTTCTCAGAACAAAGCTAGGCTATGAAGAAAGTTGTCTTCTGGGTTTAGGCACCGTGTATTCTTCGTTTTGGCCGACGTTTCGGAGGAACGTAGCGCCTCCATCTTCAGAGCAGTTGAATAGCTGCGGAGAGCAGTAGCTGTGGTGATAGGATGTGGAAGCTAGGCTATATTTGGCTGACCAGGTCATAAACAGTCATATATAAATGTAAATAGTATGGAAACCAGTACCGTGATAAATTATTTCATTGTTCAGAGCTAACAAATAAACCTCTGACATGAACATGCGTGTGTTTGTTTTGGTTTCAAAACCAAGATTGAACTGTCAGCACTCCCAAAGAGTGTACGTGCCCTGCATCATATATATATATATATATATATATAAATAACATAAATCCAACACGGGTTGCTGCTTGATGCATATATATAACATTCGGCCATTAAAGGTTAAGTTGGCTGTTCCTGGGTCACCTCCTTAGGTGCATCCAACTCCATTAACAATTCCAAGACATCCCCAAATAGGTATGATTTTTATGACAGATATTTCAGCAATGGAGAGCACAAAGGATGCTTCACAGTCTGTTTGACATCTATAACATTGCGCTTAACAAGGCCCTCAGACCAACTTCAACTGTGCAATGCTAAGTAGGGAGCCTCCAGTGGGTGCAATGTGTCTACCTTTCCACAACCTTACTGAACAGGTCACACATCAGTTGGCTGTGGGCTCTTGGTTACCAGAATTTGATCTGTCAGGCACCAATTTTATTTGTTCTGGCAGTACACATATTTATCAATGTGTGCTATGTAATCAAGAATCCACTGTTTGATCCTAAATTTAGATGATGTAGCATGCTTTTATTCTTAGTAAAATAACATTTATTTCTTTTAATTTAACCTAATATTATTCACATTATATTATACTCTTGTCTCTTATCTTTTAAGTTAATTTATAAAATGCTTTTTTTATTTTTCACAGTACAACTTGCATGTTGGCATGGCTGCAACACTTCTCTTTTTCTCTTCTAAATGCTGATTTTCCTGGACCATTTTTTGTACATTAAATAATATCTCTCTGGAATCTATGACAGTATCAGGGGCAGAAGTGAAGTGTTGTTTTACATCAGATTGAAGTCTGAAAACATGACAGAGATTTTGGTAGCAGAATTTTTGAGCTATGTTTGGCAATTTATCCTCATATTTTATTGTGGGTAGATCATGCCAGTGCAGGGGTGCCTTATATTTTGAATGTCATTGGTTGGTCCAAATTAATAGATCATTATCAGACAGGGGCATTAAATGTTGGCATATCAGGAAATGGATTGGGGATGCTGCAGATTAGGAGAGCTGTAAGAAGATAGTTTTGCTCATGCGTCAGAATATATGTGGTCATAAGAGAATTGTTACAGATTTTTCTGGATTATAAAAGTGTGTTTGTAACATTCAGAAGTTCATTCCTTATCCAAGAGAGTTTGGAGAGGACTCATATAAATGCAAGGCTGGTTTCAGTCATTTCAGTTTTTGAACAAGAGTTCAGACTCTGGAAATTAGTTAAAATTTAACTTTTTTTTTTCTTTCTAACTTTTCTGTTGCATGCTCTAAAATGGAAGTAAGTGTTAAAAATTAATACATTATGGCTTAAAAATGTAATATTTTAATTAGTGAAGATCTTAGATATAATCATTTTGTGTTTTTATTTGCTGGTTAGTAACCTTACTAAAGTTCACTGAAGATAACAGCTAAACACGACATGTAAGAGGAATCACCTAGCACTACAAACATACAACAATTCATGGGCACATAAACGAGGGTATTTTCAAGACACCTGATGGTAACCATATTGGTCAAAACATGTAGAGCACCAGTGATGTGAAAAGTAATATTTAATTAAATAAAAACATGAATTTTAAGATTTTAACACAGGTTTGCATGTGAGAAAGTGAATAAGAAGTTAACATTACTGAAATGACGCATTAAAAAGTTATGGTCACTTAAGTTTAGTTTCATTAGTTGTCATCATTAAGATGATCAAACTAGCCATGACCTGGCTGGATTGTACATTACGTTAACTTTCCTTTTTTATATCTGTTTTAGAACACTGTCTTTGCATTAAACATTGATTGTTCTAAATTTAATTTGTAAGATCCTGTTATATTTAGTGTTCTCTATTTTCTGTAACACATACAGGAGAATGATTTGTGTGAGAGATTTTATGAGAATTTTACTAATACGTATAATGATGTTGCTTTTAAGTGAGTAATCTTTTGTTCCAGTATTGTTCTGGTACAGCAGTGTAAAAGCTATAAAAGGTTTGGTAATCAGTTTTAATCATTTTTAAACTTGTTCATAAAATGTACTAAATAACAAAGACTTACCTTAGGCAGTAGGAAAAAAATAACAGTACAAAATATGCCGGGTATTAAAATGTAGTACATAAGATAGTAAAATTCCTGAACAGTGGCCTAACTATGAACAGAAAATTGATTTTACGTTAGCATGTCCGGTGTACCTTAATTTGGATGTAGGAATATTAAATGCTAAATTATTAAATGTGGAATGATGAATACAAAGGAAATCGAACTCACAGTTACACGGTTCAGTTGGCCGCGCCATAGCTCAAGTGGTTAGTCGCTGGCTTCCCATTGCGGCGGCCCGGTTTCAATCCCGGGTCTCGTCAAGTGGGATTTGTGGAGGACAAAGTGGCACTGGGGCAGGTTTTCTCTGAGTACCCCTGCCAATCTCCATTTCACCAACTGCTCCACAATCACCCTCACCTATCATCTGGAGCTGGTACAATAGGCCAGAAGTGGCCGCAGTACAAGGGACTTAGTCCCGCCCCACTAGCAATAGAAAAAATATACATGGTTCAGTTCACTTGAAATACCTGGTTAAGCCATAAGACTTTGGAGAAGAACATAGCTTTATCCATTAAAATAAAATTGTCTGGATTATTATTATCTAGGTGGGAGTATTTACAGGAGGGTTTGGATGCTGCCTTGCCATGTTTTCTTGCTGTACATAGGTCCATCAATTCCAAAAGGAACACCCTCGACTGGGGTTTCTTTCAGTTTGCAGCACAGTTTAAATTGAAACCCAGAGCTTTTACTTTGATCACCTCTTCTAATCAGCAAATTTGTGTGTGAATGCTGTAACACATTTCAACCAGGCAAGGAGTTTCTCTTAGCTTTGGATTTTCTTATGATTTCTTTTTCTTTTTCTGTCCTTCACATTCCTTACCACTCATTATCATTTATTCTGTCTTCTTTGCACCGTATGTTTTTGTGAATGTTTTCATTGTCACTGTGCAGATCCCTGTCACCTGTGTGTGCCATCCCCATGTACGTTGTGTCACGTGTCAGCTGTACCGCTCATTCACTCTCATTCCAGTCCTAGCTTTCCCTCACCAAGCCATTCTCCGTCACGCTCCCATTCTCTTACTCCGCCACCAGTCCCTAACACTCTTGCTACAGACCAGGGTCCAGCTGGTACCACCATGGTGGTAATGGGTGGGCGGCGCCACCGCCACAGTATCTCGGGCCAGATGAGCTACTTTAAGATGTTGGGGTTTGGCCCTATGGTGGCAATGGGAGTTGGTAAGAAGATATCTGGCGCTGGAGCAGGTGGATCAACTAGCAGCCTGTTTAGTACTGCTGTCATCAGTGGATCATCCAGTGCACCTAACCTGCGAGACATGATTCCAAACTCTGCTTCTGTCTCAGGTAAGTAGTTTGATGTTCTTGTGTTAATCCAGAATATTCAGAATTCTAAAAGGAACTACCTGATTAATTTTTTCTGATGATGAATGTGTGACAGGAGTTTCAGGTCTAAATTTAAGTTACATGAAACCAACATAAATTAAAATGTTCACACAAAATTAATAGCAATAAAATATATGTAATAATAAACGTTGCACATCAGAAAATCTTATTATCAGAAACATAGTATTTCCACATTGTGATGTATATAGCTAGGCCTACACTCGGGCTACATCTGGTGGCATCAGATTGATGGTGTATTAATGAATAGAAGGAAATGCTGAAGTGTAACTGCTGTGAACTCTGTAGAATATGAGAATGGCAGTCTCTTTTTGGATTCTTACTGTTCTCTCAGTAGTTGAAAAAACTACTGCAACTTTTAAAAGTTTATGGGCTTCATATAGTTTCACAGTTCAGCAGTTAGTGTCTGAGCCTAGTTTTCTTATTGGAAAACTGGAACAATGTAAATCACTCAGTAATGATCAAAGTCTGTTACATTTAATCCATGGATGACAGACATTGAGTTCTGATGAAGAAAACAGTCTTCTGGGATTTGGCACTGTGTATATGTGGTGTTAACCGACGTTTCGGAGGAATGTATCGCCTCCATCTTCAGGGTAGAAGGAAAAATATAAGAAATCCACGAGCAAAGAGACCGTGCACAGGGCTAGAGCACTGTGTGATCAAAACAGCCTACATGCGGAGTTGGTGCTCCTGAGAGATGTATTCAAGAAGAACGGATACAACAACCGGCAGATCCACAGAGTTCTCAACAGTCGGCCCAACATCAGCCGGCCTGAAGACAAACCGGGCTCAGTCGCTTTCCTTCCCTATGTCAGGACCATATTCAACCGTATCAGCAGAGTGCTCTCCCGGCACAACATCAAAGCAGTGGGTCTGCCTCCAAACAAATTATCCAGTTTCCTCCGACCGGTTAAAGATAGCCTGGGCCTAAGGACGCTGGGTGTATACAGTATCCCATGCGAGTGCGGCAAGGTCTATATTGGGCAGACAGGCCGCTCCGTGGACTTGAGGTTGAAGGAGCATCAGCGGCACATCCGTCTCGAACATCCGGACAAGTTGGCCGTAGCTGAACACAGCATCAATCTGGGACACCGTATTCAGCTTCAGAATACCTCCATCCTTGCCACCAAGACCCGCTATATGGATCGCATCATTAGGGAAGCCATTGAGATTGAACTCCATCCTGAAGATATGAACAGAGAGGGGGGGTTTTGTCTCAGCAAGTCATGGAAGCCTCTCATCTGTTCTCTTAAACCCCCCCCCCCCGGGAAATGACGTCAGATCCAGAAGGCTACACAGGCCATGACCAACTAACATAACAACCCCACCCCCACCCCATCCCACCCCCAGCTTAAGGGTTAGTGCCCAGCCTTTAACCTTGCCTTTCTCTCCCCAAACACAAAACCCTGCNAAATCCCAGAAGACTGCTTTGTTCATAGTCATCGCCGTTAAAGCCTCAAATCTTACATTGAGTTCTGATATCCACAAACTTGTAAATTCTGTTTGGAACAGGAAATAATTGCCACATCTGTGGAAGAAATAGATCATTTTACCCAGGGATAACTTGAGTTATAATAATTTCCAAGGAACCTTGCTTCAACTTTATATAAAGTCTGATTCAGCATTCTTCTGGCAGGACTAACACCATGGGGATGTACATAACAGTTGAATGGTTAGCATTCCTGCTTTATGTTGAGGGGTTTTGATTGTCAACTGGGAAGTTAGCAATGCTGACTGAGTTATCTTAGTTTCACACAGTCCCTCAAGGCGAATTACTCTGACAACCCTTCAGATGTCCCATGACCATGTCAATTCTTTTGATATTGTACATGTGTAGCTTATGAAACATAGAAAGAATTATTAAATAAATGAAATTCAAAACAGCACCATATATGAATGAAATTATTGAGAATGGCCATTGTACATCATGGAAAAATCAGCTGATGATCAAATTGACTGTTCATATTGTCACAAGTATGAGTGTGACTATAGACAGGGTCTGGATTGGTGACCTGATTAATTTGACTCTTTGGTACAGCACATTACTACACTTTACAGTTCACTGTTACACACGCATGCACGCACATGTGCATGCATTCACACATACATTAGTGTTCACAGTCACATCTTCACTGCCGTTGCCTGGTAGCGGCTTCCAGTGGTGGACATTCCCCTTCTTCTGGGTTCTCTAACTGTTCCTGGCCTCAGGTTTCAGCTTCTCGCAGCAACAGCTCATGACTGAACCTCATCAGTTCTCTAACTATCTCACTGACTGACTAACTCAGTCACTCATCATCCAAATTGCTCAGTTCAACTCAACTCAACTGACTCTCACTAACTGCTCTGCTTATAACATCTCAGCACAGACTGCACAGAAAACACCATACCATTGCTCTGTTGCTGTTAATGGGCTGTTGCCTAGCTGTTTGTTTCATGGTCATTGCCTAGCAATAGGTCTACATACCACAATATTATTAGACCAAAAATGGCAGTAGAATTGAATTGATTACTTGGAAAAGAAATTATATCCACTTTTCAGGCACATTACCCTTTCCACCCAGTTCATTTGGCTGTACAGACATGAGCCATTAATTAACTTGGAGAAACCTGTGAATCAAAACAATATTTCTGAACAGGCATTCCACAATGTGAGTCTCAGTGTTCTGCAACATTTTGAATTCAAATTAGTTTCAATACATGTAACAGCAGTTCACAAAGTTTTGTAATATTGATGAATGCACTTCCCATTAATGCTAACAGTAACATATGACATCACAGCCACATTGTACGAGTGACGAAAATAATGGGTTCTAATTTGGATGATTGGATTTATTAGCACCTTGGTTACATGTTCTCTTAATCACACTTAAATAGTGCTGTCACTGATTTACACAATTTGCAGTTCGCCATTGCACATGCACTACGATTGTCTGTCTTCACTAGTCATCTCCTGGCAACGGATCTCAACAAAGAATCTAGCACTTCAACTCACTATGAAATCTTCTTGCTGTTTTGTCTTCAATCACTGTGGAACCTCAGAACTAAAAATTCTTCTGGACTCACTCCTCCAGCTTATGACTGACTCATAACTGCCCTTGAACTAACTCTGTCACTGCATTCACTTCTCTTATAAACACTACACAGACCCCACACAAAACTCCATCTCTGTTGTTGCTGATGTCACTGCTTAAGTGTAAGTGTGTTTACCAAGCCATTGCTTAGAAATGGATTGCATAACCCCTTTGTTCCACCACTGCTGGGCATGGATGACATACCAAACACAGCCTCATCTATTGTGTGTTGGACCTTGTTTACAGAGCTGTTGCCTGGCAATGTGTTGGGCAAATCTGTTACAGTATCAACTTGAACTAGCTAATGGCTGGCTAATAGCAACCACTAACATGCACACTGTGGAGCACAGATGGTCATAAGTCCACATCACAGAGTTGCCGGATATATTTTCAACATGATGGGGCAACTCTTCTTTCTTTAAAGCCACTCTTGCCTCAATCTCCATAACATCTAAACTTTGAGCAAGAGCACATTCAACTATTTCAACTCAAATTGACCCAAGAAGCACTACCTGGAAGTTAGGGAGGAATATCTCGATACACCCTGTGTATTTTTGTCATTTTATATGAGTATGAAACTTGGTCTCACTTTCGGGTAAGAACAGGCAATGAATGTGCTTGGAAATAAGATGCTGGAGCCATGAGGGATGAGATATTGAAGGAATGAAGAAACCTGTAGTGAGGATTTTCACGGATTGTACTTTTGACCTATTATTGTTAAGATGGTTATGTGGTTATGTTATGTTATGGTTGTATCAAGAAGAATTCAATGGACAAGTGTATTACAGTCTGAATTGGAGACACAAGAAATGCAAACATAATTTTGATTGACATTGTCAGAGCATGAAACATGGGTATTGATGATAGGATAATGTTGTAATTGGTCTGAAAAACTTGGGGTGGGAAGGTGTGGGCAGGATTGAACTGCCAATGGGAGGTTTTAATGGTGATGGATGACCGTTTTATTTCTGGAAAAATGTGGCACTTCTTCATCATCTGGATAAGTATCAACTTTTCGGGTCTTTACCATATAATTAGGAATAAATGCAATTAGCATCTCCTCCAAAGCCAAATATCATTATTTCCAGTCCAACTTTAGTTATGCATATGAAGCTGTTTTTACCTTGAAATTTTCAGAGCACTAGAACTGGTAGAAGTTTGGCTGATTGTGAAAGGGCTTAATCTGCTTATTACAAAGTCTTGCACCACTGAATAAAGAAACACTTGTATACATATAGATATTTCTGTTACACTCAGAAACTTGACATTCTTTTTGTGTTTTATTGCAGCAATCGAAGGATGTGGAGGTGTGCCTCCTATCAGGCCCCTAGAGACCCTGCACAATGCACTGTCATTGAGGCAGCTTGACTCATTCCTGGATGTCATGACATCTGCCCCACTGTTCCGAACACCAGCGTCATCGCCTCCGAAGAATCCATCAACACCTCTACCATCAACTGCATCTGTGCCACCTCCTCCACTCCATCTGCAATCTCCCAGCAGCAGTGAGTATTTCTGCACTTCCATGTACAAATCAGCAACCCATTGTGTGTTGCAGCCACTGCCAGAAACAGCATGTTCTGTAAAGATCCAATCGGCTCAGTTTTCCAAGCCAGCTAGAAGATGAGACCATCCACTGTTGAACAGCATGGCCATGCTACTGAACTGCCCATTGTAAACATTGCATACACAAGTAACAGGCTTCCAAAGAGATTCTGTATTCATCTACATATTTACAATATTTTGTAATTGAAGATGGTTTGTGAAGCATATGGAGACTTCTTGGAGTTAGTAGCACCTCCATGCCTAGTGAACATACAGTGGAACCTCACTGTTACGAGAATTTATAAAATTTCTAAAAATTCTCATTGTGAGGGATATGTGTATTATCCAAAAATGGTCGAGTTATGTCCCCTAACTTCCAGTTGCATATAATACAGTATGGAGCCAAGGTTTATGTAATATTGTGGATATAGCAGGGTTTCTTCTTTGAAGGGACACAAGAATGTGAATAATTTTGTGTTCTCATAATTTTTAACATTACGTGAAGCACAATGTTAGAGCTTTCCTGAAACTTACATAAATTAGGAACATTTTCTTAAGAAGCAAATATCCTGCCCATTATTCTCTGGATACCTGGAAGCAGATCACTATATTCCAGTCACAAATGCCACTCATATTGTCCATAACAAACAGTCTGAAAAGCAGGTGAACAGGATACTCACTATTTTCTTCTGAATATATTCATTGAAGAAAGAAAACATTTTATGATGTGTATAAAGTAGTTATAATTCTTTAATCCCATAAAGATTTCTTCAAATAAGACCCTGGCTGTCCTTGAAGTTGCAATGATGTCTTGTTTTTAGATATTCTATAGGGTATATTGATCAAAGAAAGACTATGGAAGAGCATAAGGTTGTCGACTGTTGGTGACAAAATGAATTGCTGTTGCAATATAAGTGCCAATTTCAAAATATATCTAAAAATGTTGCCACTGTTTGAACAAAGCAGACCATGTCTCAGAATTTATGTCAGTCATGTTGTTGTCTTGTGGTTAATATTCTAATAATCAAAGAGGTCTCAGTTTTCAAAAACCACCCAGTTGTGACCTATACTGGCTGAGGCATTCTTCTTTATAGCAACCAAGCATATGCCAGAATAATATATTGAAGCAGGTGTGACCATTTTCCCTAATGGCATATATAACTTACAGAGTTGATGATCATTCTGTCCTGTCTCATTTTATACCATGAACTCTGCAGTTTAAATAGGATCCTGAAATAAGGAATGATTAAAAATTCTGGTTCAGTTAATAGTGCAGAAATGGAACATGACATGTGGTTTGTCACACAGGTCTTGTGTGGAGTGGGCCTCCTTCTTTTGTGTCCAGCAGTGGACCATCTTCTCCAAATGGGACATCTGATATCTTCTCATTGCGTGGAGGTGGGGGAACTGCAGGAACTTCAGAGAGCAGTGAGATGTCACTGTCAGCCAGTCTCATCAGTAATGATGGGTATGGAAACTCTCTGTCAGCCTTGAGTTAGGAGTCTGTGTTTCTACTGCAGGTGCTGTGCATAGTTTTACAAATTTCTAATACTAAGCATATCAGAGATGATTGTTACAGACAGCAATATCATTAAGGAGACTTTCTATTACCTTTTGGCAGTATGTCATCATGTCATGACTGAGGGGTAAATTAAAAAGAAGGTTCTTAACATTTTTACAGAAAATGAATCAAAGCTATATTTAGGAGCCATTTTATTTGAGAGACTAGTCCCTCGCTCATTCAGTCATTTGTAGCAGCACACGTAGAATCTGAGGATGACTATTGTTGGCGACATCCATTTTAATTACTGCATTAGGTTAAGGTACCGATTTTTCTTATGACTAGTAGAGGTCACTGCTGCAAATTATCAGTAGCAAAAGAACTGTTCATTGTGCCTTTCAACACTAGATTCATCATGTATGTTTGTACAAGTTCTGGAAGGTTAAGAATGAAAGCCATATTTGTTGGTATGAGGAGTAAGGCAGATGACACCTGTGAGGTCATTTGTGTGTATAGGTGTTACACCAGAATGCCAAACACTTTCAGTCTGTTTCTGCTTCAAGAATGACTTAAACATGGCAGTGATAATGACAGTTTTAAAAATATGGTACATAGTGAAAGTACTATTTAGTTTTTAATAAAATACATAATTTTTGAACCAGCATTAAATTCCTTCAAATGTAGCTGTTATTTTAGTCCCCAGAGAAATAGCTGTCATTATAACAAAACTTAAATTATTAGCTAGATGCTGAGAAAACTATGATGTCACTTAAGTATTTTTAGAACAGGAAAGAATTTAATATATATGCAATAAAGAATGTAATGTTTCTATACATATACATTACAGTTATGGGAAGAATACAGAATTATGGGGAGTGTCTCCGACAGAATATAGAAGTTCAAATTTTCTCCTCTACCTCACTGCAAAATAGAAACGTACATGCAGCTTTTCAGATGTATATTCCTGTTCAGTGATGTTCTAAACCTGATGTGGAAAATTACATGGTGTAACATACCTGAGTAAAATACCGAGGCAGCAATATCCCTATCCCGCCTTTTCCCGCTTCTGACATTATTTCTTCAGTTGTAGGGATGATGGGTGCCATATGTGTCTCTAAGTGCGTGGTGTGGCCCAAAGATACACCAAAGAAACCTACAAACTAATTATGATTTTAAAGTCATATTGGCCATATGGTGTGCTGTTAGTGAAGTGCCAGTGTTACAGGTATGGTGAGCTGACAGCCACCCTGGCCAACATCTTCCCAACATTTCTTGACCAGGACCTAAGCAATGTGGGTATCCTCCTCGAGAGCAGCACTGATTTCTACCCACAGCCTAAGGAGGCGGAACCAAGACAATTTGTTGTGCCTGAGAATGGAGCGCTCCTTCAGTTCTCAGCCACTGGTGGTGACAGTGGTGATATTACTCCTGTGTCTGTGTCAGCCAGTTCTGAGTTTGACTTCGCGTCTGCAGCCGAGGGTGCACCCTGCTACATTGGAGAGACAGAGCCAGCTGCTAGTATTGGTGTGGATATTACAGACATGAGTAGAAAAGACAGTGAGGCCCTGCAGGAGGACAATGGCAGTTCAGGCCGGTCACCACTGCTAGCCAGGAGTGTGGAGAGTCTTGGCAGGAAGGAGGCCTCCAAGCTGGTGGGAGAGTGGGTGCTGGAGAGCTCTGCTACATTGGCAGCAGACATGCTGGTGATGGTTGAGCCTGCGGAAGAAGAAGAGAGGACCATCACCTCCTCCATGACTGCAACCTCTCCCGCCCACAAAACCATCTTTCAGGTAATAGGTTGTTGATATTCCTACCATGTCTTGCTTTAATTCAACCAACTGTTATGGAAAGCATCAACTGTCACTGCAGATGTTACTGCTGAACATAGGAGTTTATACTGTTGGTAACAGAATTCTAGTCCTGGAAATGGGGGAAATGTAATCTTTATAACAAGTGTTTAAACATGTTTTTACTGAAATCTCGAAATCTGACTTGAACATTAATGCAGATCTATCACAACTTAATGTCATTGATTATGTTAGTCATTGTTTGTTATAATTTTTCCCTGTCCTTGTATGTCTTAGAAAAAAACACTTGCATTGCATCCATAGTTTTTACAAGACTGTAGTCCAGATCTATACATCCTATTACAGAATCATGTGCACCCAAATATGGGAAGTAGGCTAAGATGAAATATCACTGTTGCATTTCGTGCGTGCGCACATGCGGGTATCTGTATATAAGACAGAGAGAGAGAGAGACTAAATCATGAATTGCTAAACCAATTTTTCAGAGTTCTCATGCTCTAAGTAATCATGAAATAACTCTTAAGAGTTGCTGTGGGCTTGGTAATAAAGCCTCCTGTGACTGGCTTAATAATGCAGCTGATTTTATATAGCAATTAGAAGTATTATTTCACAAATAGATCTAATAAGCAACTGTAAGTTTGTGGGTCTCACAGTGCTGGCTATGAAGAGTGTTATTTTCTGGAATGCAACAACATGTAGTAGTCTTGTAGAAGTTTACCATAGTGCCTCCATCTTCAGAGTCACATAGTAAGCTGAACTTACTGTTTGCTGGCTCACTCAGTCACTCTTCAACCCTACATGACATTAAATACTCTCCATAATAATTAATTCTTTATTTAATCAGTGTTTGCTTTATATGAAGTTCCTACATATTGGAAATCTGCATTTATTTATAGGGTTAGGAAATGAAATTCATGTATTACATAGTGTAAAATTCCAGTCACACAAGTTTGATGCAGTGGCTTGTCATCTTAATACAAGTTTATCATTACTAGGGTCTGAAGATGATGATATGAGCCATATTGATAAAGTAAGTGCATTCACAATAAGTTTCCAATTATAGAGAGGCAGTACCATAGTATTTTCACATTCTCTTCATAGCAGTGAAACTGAGACAACAGTGAATTACTCATCAAATATGAATGCACAATGATAAAGTTATTTTCAGCATAGCCTTAAATGGATGTGGTGGCTGTCCATAATATAGATGACCTTGGAAAATCTTTTGCAGTTTTGACTTGAATCAAGGTGAGAGGTTTGTGGGATTCAAGTGCATAATTTTATAATTAATTAACTATGAAACAGAAGTAGAGTGTGTAGGATGAAAAAGAAGAGCTATAGCAATATAGAAACTGAAGCATAAAGGTTTTTGCAGAGTACATACAGAATTCTGGTGATAAGTCCAGTGTCAAACAGGAGTCAGTATGGCAACTCATACTGAGTTAACAGTTAGGCTGCTGAGGGTTAAGAGTGACAGGCACACAAATGTGTTCTTTTACAACAATCATAGTTGGACCCATATCCTGTGACCAAGCAACTCATGTTGGACACTAAACTGCTACTGCCACAGATATGTGTCCTTGCTGATCCTGGCATCATGGTGTTGCAGGTATTTGGAAGCCCTGTGTCCAGGTATCAGTCCAGCAAGACAACACTGGTGAGTCCAACTCCAAACCAGTGTGTGGTAATGCCCATAAAGGAAGACAGCCTAGAGATGGTGGAGGGGGGAGGGACGCAACATAGTCCCATCAGCATCAGCAGGGAGTACCGCCTGTCATCGCCACTTACCTCCACTGCAAGGGAAAGCAAACTGGAATCAACAAGAAGTCCAGGCCACCTCAGTCCCACACCAACATCCTCCAGCCCAGCACCTTCCAGCTGCTCTTCATCATCATCACCTTTGAGGAATCCCTCAGACAGACAAAAACTGCGGGAACCAAAACGTCCCTTGGTGTCCAGCTTCACAAAAGAGTACAAACTCTACACTTCTAGCATAACCACCGGCAGGTCCTCTCAGTCAGATTCTGGTGGAAGTACAGAAGGTTCCTACAAGTCCATCAAAGACACAGAATCTGTGGGCAGAACTCCATGCAGTTTCTCCTGCTTTGGAGAAGATACTTCAACAGCACTTGCAGCAGGTTTGGCAGAGGAAGGCTTTGGTTCGCTGAGTAGACAAAGGTTCAGTAATGAGGATGATGTGAACTCAGAGGAACTGTTTGAAGGAACAGCCCCTGCCCTGACTCTTGCCAGCAGCTTCACAGATTGTTCCTCCATATCCAGGGGTTTCAACATTGTGAAGGATGAAGACAAGTAGCAGAAAGTCTAGTTTAAGTTCACCAACCCTTGTATCTTACAAACTGCAGGATGTGCCACTATCCTCATTTGTACATCCTATGTATAGTTGCTGTCCACATATCCTGTCATTGAGGTCTATTATGCATGAAGGAGATAAGCTTATTGGATGAACAGGATCCCAGGTACACTTCAGTAGCATATTATTCAGGAATTGAATAGAACAGTCTCTCATATTAATGTCTGATGTCATGAGAAAGGATTACTGAGTTATGTTAGATGCCAGGAGTTGCCTCCCTCCTTCAGATATTTGACACATTCACTCCTGTATCCAAGGTTAGTCATGTACTGGTGCTTTGTCCAAACTACCATATCTGATGAAGCCTGGATGGTAACATGAAATGACATAACAAAATACACTTCAAGCACATAGTTCATTCTCTGTGTCGAGATGATCCCTTGACCATATGTAGAGCGTTTGCTACCATTTGTGTCAATTCATTTTTTACAGTCTCACCTGCAACCCTATATTCTATAAAATTTATTAAAAGTTATTCACTTTAAAAGTTCAAAAGCCCATCACTACAAGTTTTGACCAATGTGATCATCATCAGATGTTAAAATTTTTGGCGAGGAAATTGCTGTCTTCTGTAGTTGCTTATGTTGTTAAATATATAAGTCCTCATGATGCACATGTGTGTTTGAGTTGGTGGGTTTTGTTCTCTCATATTGTGTGATGTTCTGCGTGTCTTGTTCTCGAATGCTTCTTTATCACAAAGTAAGGCAAACTGCTACTGTACCATAATGTGCAGGTAAGCAGGCAAGCCAGCAGCGTAGGTGCAGGGATGGATGTGTTAAGTGGCAGTAGTTATCTTGTGTATAGATTGGAGTCTGTATACCTAGTTGACCATATATTCACTGTAAATATGTCTTGACATTAATTGATACATGTTCTCACATTCTCATCCACATAGTACATGTGTGATTTGTTTGATGCTGTATGTAGGCAAGATTAGATTCTGAAGCTGGATTTAAATGATAACTGCATAATGATCTCACCAGCTCACTGAAGAGACAGACATACTAAGAAGGCTGTGATAATAATAAAAATGATTCCTATTCTATGGCTTATTGCTGGTGGCTAGAATTACAGTCCTGTACTTCATGGTAATATGGGAAATGCACTGGTGAACAGCAGATCTTGTGTTACTTTACATTGAACTGAGTTTAGAGACCACCTTTTGCATGGTTTGTGTATCTTTTAGCCATGCTTTTTTATATTGCTGTCATATTCCAGTCCCTCTATGAGCCTTGACATGTGCTGTATTTCTGCAGCACACACTGATCACTGTTCACAGATGGTTCAAATGTGACAGCACATGTTTCATTCTTCAGCTGTTTATGATTTGTAGGGATTCCATTTACAATTATAAAAATGATTGCAGTTATAAAACATCTGTATGCGTTAATATGGTTAGGCACAACAAATTTTGAACTCTTCTGTTACTTCTCAAGAAGGAGTGATTGCATTGTAGGCTCAGGATGATAACATCATGAACACTTTCAGATCTTGAGCGAAAGTATGCTAGACTGTGGAAGTTTTCCTTTGTAGATCTATGTTTTTGCATGAACAATATATTTAAAGGGGAAAAAAAGGAAGTGATATATGAAGGAAAATTTAACATCTTAAAATTTGTTATATATGTGGGTGAGGGATGTTTTTAAGCCCAGTGATGAGGAACCTATGCTGAAGGTTCAAGTGAAGCTGAGACATTTCATTCCAGTTCACTTGCTTACATATCATTTTGAAAGTTCTGCAGTGTTAAAATCTTCACAAACAGTAAGTGTCAGAGTTGGGCATGAAAGAAGGGGCATGCAGTACTGTATTAAGCTGAGAATTTCATATTCATGCTCATCTGCTTTGGCTGTATCTGTAGACTTACTGATACCATCTGAATTGAACTTCTTGCTGTCGTAGTGGTGGGCCCATTATTAATGTCTCATGTAGAATATGTCCTCTATAGTACCAGAGTTTTCAGGAGTCACTGAATTGAATGAACACATAATTCATACTGTGGTCTTCTGGGTTATGATATTATTCTATAGTCAAGTAGGTGGTTAGGTGAAACCCGCAGATCATATATATGAATTGTTTCTGAATCGGTTAAGACTCAGTAACAGGGAAGTGCAGTGTTGTGTTGCAGGCCTATAATGAACAATGTAACTGGTGTAACCCACATAGAATAGCCAGTGTACCTGAACAGTGGTGTGCAATCATGTGTGATATTCTTGTGATATAAGTTGTCATTAATTGTGTTACATAAACAAGAAGGTACGACAATTATAGCATGTAAGGTCCTGATCTACAACGAGAATGATGGTGGAATGTTCTGAATTGTGTTTTTGTTTCATACCATAGTTATTATCCCTCACAACTGACTACAAATCTCACTTATTCCCATTCCTTCCCAAAACAGGTTCCTCCATAGTTCCTATGACAAAAGAGTGCAGTGGAAACTTCTGCTTCCTCATAAAGTGACTCAGATTCAGCTTGGTAAGATTATACCGTGGCCTTTTTGTGTATGCAGTTTGAGCAAATTTTCTATGTACTTACATAAAACTTGGTAAAGAGTCAACAATATATATGGAGGACAACACATAAAGAGGTAGAGAACTAATGAAATAAATCTGTTGTTTGTTGCTTATACCTTTGAATATGGTCTTTGGCGATCTTTGCCTGTGCCTGCATGTCTAGGATGAAGGTAAAAATCCAGACTTTAAACAGGACCACCCATTGGGTAGAATGTCCATTTTGAACCCACTGATAGGTTGTTAGTAATGACAATGGCTGGCACAGAAGACCCACAGATCAGCATGGGATACAAGCCACATATTTCCTACACAGCAGAAATTTCTTACTTTCTTAAAGGTAGGGATGGGAAAGTGTGCAAATAAATTGCGCTGTATCTGGGCAATCTCAATCATGAGATCTCCAGAGGACATTGGATTGCACCTAGACTATCTGGTCCCCAAAAGGTGAATGATGACATCTGGTATTTATAATGGCACCTTCTCTTTTTCCTCCTCACTTCTACCCATTATGATAAAAGATGAAGAAGGCCGTCTTCTGGGATGTGGTACCATGTAGATCTTGTGTTACTACATGCTGCAGGCAACTGCTCACACTGTTCCTCGCTCACAGATTTTTCTACCCCAAAGATGGAGGAGATACGTTCCTCCAAAACATCAGTTCACACAAGATCTACAAGGTGTCACATCCCAGAAGATGGCATTCTTCAAAGATATTCTTGCTTAGCTAGTCAGAGCACAGGTCTTGTCCAAGGGCATTGTGACTTTTAGGAAAAGGACAGAATGATACTGGGATAGATAGTATCTGACAAATACCAAGAAGGTGTTGCAAGGCTGCTGTCTTCAGGGAGTTATATGATGAAGATGGCAAATGAAAGTTCTCTTAACTGCTTTTGTTTAACTGTTGCCATAGTACAAGTGTATAGCTGTAAACATAGAGAACACTTAGCACCACCTGAATTGTGAAACACCGACAAGTCCTTAGATTGGCAGCATCTGTTTTCTTGCACTCCCACTCCATGGCACAAAGGTATGAGAACTGCAAGTCACCAGTGTGTATCAGCTGTTTTCTTTGTATAGTACTGGGAAAATCGATAAATGAGCATACTTACACTTTGTAAGATTTGAGGTTTTCACAGCGGTGACTATGAAGAATGTGTCGTAGGATGTGGCAAACCTTGGTTTCAGACATGTGCAATAATAATCAGGCCAAAATACTGTATCATGTTGATGTAGGAAAAGCTTCACCCATAAAACTGAATGTATTTGTATGTTACCAGTTTCATTTATTCAGGAAAGAGACATCAGTTTCCAAGTACTTGAAGTATCAGCAAGCAGTGAGAATCTCCTTGTTCAGCAACCCAGTCAGTTGCTTCATAGTTTTATCTGGTCTAAGACCACAACTGTCAATCCAATGTCATTCAAAATATTATCTTTAGAGTCATTTTTAAGGACTTCCTAATGACTACATTATACAGAGGTAGGGTAGAGTGACTGCAAAAATAAGTTAGAAGATAAATTGAAACACAATCAAATTCCAGAACCAGAGTAGACTCAAGGTATGGGTATGGAATAACCTCTGGATTAACATAATGGCAAGTGCAGTTCAGTAAATGTTGAAAATAATTCAGCAGGAAGTGCAGGGTAATAGAAGTTCATTTCACATGACTTTGTACAAGAAGACATTTCTCAATAACAGTGAGATAAGATCTCAGAAAATTATTAATGTTCAGTTTATGTTATAAATATTATGTTTCTGGACATCCATGGTCCTGTTTTTATATAAAATATCATCCAGAAATAAGACTAGCTCTATCAATTGAGCCCAACTGAGTAGGTTTTACCCAAATATGGAGACAGAATCCAGCCTCTGACACATTGTGTTTTGAAATATAAACAGGACGGTGTTTTACATAAAAATAGTATGATGAATAATGTCCAGAAACATTAGTTGTACTAATGTATCATTGTTATAAACTTTTATATCTTATTTTCAGTTATATTATTGCCTAAATATTAAACTTTGAAACAGACTGATACAAATGTCTGATAACTCCCAACTAACACGACGGTGTTTTACATAAAAATAGTATGATGAATAATGTCCAGAAACATTAGTTGTACTAATGTATCATTGTTATAAACTTTTATATCTTATTTTCAGTTATATTATTGCCTAAATATTAAACTTTGAAACAGACTGATACAAATGTCTGATAACTCCCAACTACTACATGTATGCTGTTATGTGCCTTTAGAGTTCAAACCTGCAGAATGTAAGACTCATATTCATTCTCCAGTTCAAGAATTGATATAGGTTAGATAACAGGCACAATTTCAATAGGATGGCATTTAAATTTTCTCAGCTATGACATTATTTTTTGCTCCCTCCTTCAGCTTGGAAACTTCTATACTTCCTGGCAACAATTATTTTATTGCAGTAAGTTTTTAATGTAATTAGATCACAATCTTTGTGCAAAATTTCATTCTACATGAGGCCATTTTCTCTGCATGAACCAAATGACTCACACTTTGTACTCTCTCCTCCCAAATTTCAGATATTGACTATTTTTCTAACCACATAAGATAATGTACTGTATTTACTATTTATGTTCGTGTGAATCTGCAATACTAAGAACTTGCCATGAATGATGATGAGTGATAAGGATGTTGGAATGAATACACACAGCACTTTAAGGCATCCTAAATTTATTCCTTTGTTACGATTATTATTATAAAATAATGGTTTCACCAATTGTGCATATCACTGCAGTTACAGGAGATCAGTGGCAGTAAAAACAAACATGGCAGCTTACAAAACATTATCTCGAAAATATACAGCCACATTAAAAACATGATCACATTCTCATACAGTATCTAAAAGCTTGCAGTGGCTAAGTCAGCACTTCTCTGCAAGCTCCACTGCAATGCTGGACAATTGTTAAACTGATATTATGATGATAAAGAGTCTATTCTGAGCAGAAGAGTATATCACTGTTTATCACTGGTGCGTGCATGTGGATCAGATATTCTGACCCAGATACTGATGATTCTCATGTACTGTAAACAGAGTTAACATTCTGAACAAGATTTTTGCAAGTGAAACAATTATTCTGCATTAATACAACGTGGATGATAGATTTTATTCCATCTTGTAATAAGACCTTCCACAGTACTATCAGCTGTCTCCCTATTCCTCATTTTGAGGCAATGCAACCAGCAAGAAGTGCAAACTTTCCAACAGCTTATAAAACGTGACAACAACAAAAGCAGGCACATAGCTCAGGCTTCTTACCATCATTTACACCAACATAAATATTAACAGCATGAGGCTCAATGTAGGCCTAGATGGTTTGATGAGAAAGTGAAGAGTGCTTAAAAGAACAAGCATCTGAAATTCATCATCTGATTAAAGTATAGCTGGAAGTGTCCTCATGCTACAACATAAAACTTATACTAGTGGCTCCATTTGTAACATTCCTGCAGTTTCAGATTTCATATTAACTGTCTGTCCACAACAGGATACTCATAATTGGCTATGATGACAGAAAAAAACATGAGAAATTTTGGTCCTTAGCTATAAAAGTAAAGACATGATTCACTATCACCATACTCCAATAAGCAGTGTTACAGGTTTAACACTTGTTGGGTCATGCTGTGTGTTTTCAAAATGTTGCAAAATGCTTATTATATGTTGAATTTTTGTTGTGATTTGTACTCTTCATTCATTCTAGATGAACTTTTCACTGCACAGCGCTAAGCACTGGAACATCACACCACCCTCTAACCAGCCTTAAAAACTGCTGTCTTGTGGGTGGTGGTGCGTAGCTTGGTAGAAAGGTACCAATATTTTGGAGGAACCTGCTGTGTCCACTGAAATGCTGATATCTTTCATCCCAGAAGACAGTAATCATGAACCATGAATTCCATATTCAAACTCCAATAGAGTTTACCCTTGTAGCTATGAAATTATGTACAGAATGTTTGAGTCACAGCTTCATCTCCAAGAGTGTCCTTTCTTCTCTCAGAATACATAATGGATCAACAAAATGCCTGGGCCTGTACACTTACAAATTAGCTGGTGCTGGTGGTAGTAAACAGACTGGAACATATAAGTTATGTGATGGTCATGCTAAAGCTAAACATAATTTGGAAGTCTCACTTTCCATCATCTTGAGACGTTTGGCAGACTACAGTACTTCGCCTGAACTTTGCAATCGTCGAAAGAGCATACAAAATACTAAATTTAATCAAATTTTCTGAAATATATCAGTAGTTCTGTATCACCAATTATTTTATATAAGTTTATATATTCTGGTGACGTTCAGCATTCAATATGAACACCACAGAATGTTAGAAGGCATGACTAATGTGAAGTGAGTTGCTGAGTTCTACACTACAGTAACAGAAAAAGTTCTTGGTACCGACTTTACTCGCAGCTATAGAAATATGAATTGCAATAAAACTCTCATAGTATATACAGGAGGTAAATCACTTCATTCATTAAATCATGAATGGGTCTCTAGAAACAAATGAAATTATGTCATATTATGTTCCAATTATGTTTTTAATTACCAGTCATTGGTAATGGTGTTCCTTTCAAGTGGCAGTCCTGTATCTGTAACTGAAGTTCCTTCTAACTTTAGAAAATGCAACACATTCTTAAATCTCTTGATCCCATTTACAGAAGGAAAATAACCTCTGTACCAAATCTAGGTATCATGAAAAGTTAAACAGTTCTGTCTGGTGTGACTGGTGAAGATTTTTCTTATTTCAATTAATTATGCCCTTATATGTAAAAACAACACAGCACACCACAAACACATACAGGACAATATCAAATAACCCTCTTCTCTAGAACGACAAGACAGCACATGTTTGGCCCCGTCAAAAGAAATAAGAGGGACGACACGAACCTGCTTGGTTTACGAATTCCAATAGAGTCTTAGCAAACCAATTATATATATATATTTTAACATATTGGAACAGCTGCTGTAGTTGTAGAGACTTTAGATTTTATACCCAATTGTATATTATTAATATTGTATGTACATATTTTAACTTTTAGAACACATTGTAATAGTGGCTTCTAACTATTGATGTGAAGGTGTCCCTCTG